CTGTGATGATGGGAGCCAATGGGAAACAAGAACAGGCCTGGGCTAGGAGGGTTGTCAGTGTCAATGAGATGTTTGCAGCCCTTGGCAGGTCATGCAGTGGTGTCGTCTGTGTGAGTGTCCGGACTGGTGTGTCAGCATTGTTTTTTATCATGTGATGCTCAGGTGATAGCGTTTTGGGCTTCCATGTTATCCAATTAGTCACCCGTGCCGGCTTCAGACTGCACCTTCCCATGTATGCTGGCATGCTGCTGGGCATGGAAGTCGATAGAGAGGTGTCAGAGAGAGGTTTCACTTGGAATTCCTTTCAAGGCACATACTAAGTGCTGCTGGCAGGTTCACAGGTGACAGCCTTGGAGCATTTGTCTTACTTGATGCCATAATCAATCAATGAAATTTAGATTAGCTTTAGTTTCATTCTGGACTCTTTCATAGCTGGAACCTTGACGGACTGCATGCTACAATCCAGGTACGGCATGCAGTGGGCCGGTGACACTCAAGAAATCCTGCATACACTTCCTTAATCTTAGATGCCATAGTTCTTCCATTTTGTTGTAAGTACAGATTTACAACGATTACTACTGCGCTTGACATTGAGCATCTAAAAGCGACTCACTGCCAACACAAAGCGTTGACTACAGATGTTTATGCCATTAGACCTCATTTAAGTGAGCGAAGACAAGAGCTTGCCACAAGGCTGAAGTTTGAGAAGAGGCTTCTTCTCTGTGAGGGCGCCCTTAGGTCCAGTCTGCTGGGCTCTCGTACTGACGATGGTGACAATGAAATCTTTCAATGTGACTGGGAGGCACAGGAGCAGACCAATATTTTCAAGCTGCTCGGGCTGGGTGAGTCACGGGACTGTGTTGACCAGGTCCACATTGCCGGCGGCCACATCATGACTCTGTACTCGTCATCACAGAACTTTGTTACTTGCTTCTATCTGTTATTCTGACATGTATGCTAGCTATTTACCGCCGTCAAGGGTTGCAGTCCGATGCTGCTGCATGATAACTAATCTAATGTTTCATTGTTCTTTGCCCCTCTATTTGTTTTCAATGCAGATGTATTTTAGCTCTTGAGTGTCGAGGAGGCAGAGCAGTGTCTTGAAGCTGTTTCAAGCAGCAGCCGGACCCCATGACCAATGGATGTCGAGCGCTGGACCAGATCACCTAGCAGCAAATCAGAAAGTGAGTTCCTGTCAAAGTGTGTGTTGGTTTCATGTCAGGGTTACAAATAGGCTGGTTGGGTGCTCACCAAGAATTGCATGGTTTTGCGACATCGTGTTAATTGTATGCTTCAGTATAGCAACCTGTCCATTTTTACTCCACTAAGCCTATATGTCTATAACTAACTGACTGACTCATGTCCCGCTGCTGTTGCAGTCAACCACCTTGGACATGGTGAAGCAGTGGGCGACAGATGTGGGCGGTGGAGATTGCAACAGCCATGATGACAGCAAAGGCCGCCTCAAAGCGCAGCCGTTCTGCACCTGATGTCGTCTTGACTGAAGCGGATCATGGAAACAAAGGCGAAGGGGAAGGGGGGCAAGAAACGACGGTGGTAATGGCTGCACGTTTATTTTGGGATGAATGCACACGCAATGTGATGGACAGCTGCATTGTCTTGTTTTGTGGAGGTGCCTTTTTTTAGGGCTGAAGGCGTGTTCTTATCACATGGTGGACAGGGTCTTGAGACGGCTTGGCTTATAAGCAAATCCGTATCTAGACGCTGTTCATCATGTGATAAGAACACGCCTTACTAGTTAGGATTGGAGGCGTGTCCATATGGCGCGATGGACATTATGAAAAGGCTTAATTTTGGACTGAAAGGGGCCTTCATATCACGTGATGTTTATGTTTCATTTTACGGAGACGGCTTCTTTTTGGACTGAAAGGGGCCTTCATATCACGTGATGTTTATGTTTCATTTTACGGAGACGGCTTCTTTTTGGACTGAAAGGGGCCTTCATATCACGTGATGGACATGGGCTCGTTTTATGGAGACCACCTTCATTTTGGACAGAAGGGGTATTCAAAGCGTAAGGGACGTTCATTCTGAGCTACCTTCATTATGTAATGAAGTGGTCCTCATTCTAAATTGACCCGGTGCCCTCGATTTGGTGTGGAATGAAGGGTCCTTCATGAAGGTATGAAGGGTCTTCATTAAGGTATGAAATGAGTGTGAATCGCATATAGAATGAAGGCTCCAGGTTCCCAGAGTGTACCCCCCATTACATCATACGTCATATTGCCGTACGTTGAAACCATCCAGGATTCGGATGAGGATATTACCCCTCACCGCGTATTACTTAAAAAGTTCCTAAGTGCCTATATTCTCTCTCTCGCGCGCACTCACTCTATCTATCTTTCTCTCGATGTGGAGCGTCCCCACCTCCTCCTCCCCCTTCTTCTAAAATTACCTCCTGCCCTACCCCCCCTGCCCTTACCCCTACCCATCCATCCATCCATCCACCCACCCATCCATCCATCCATCCATCCATCCATCCATCCATCCATCCATCCATCCATCCATCCATCCATCCATCCATCCATCCATCCATCCATCCATCCATCCATCCATCCATCCATCCATCCATCCATCCATCCATCCATCCATCCATCTATCCATCCATCCATCCACCCATCTATCCATCCATCCATCCATACATACATCCATCCATCCACCCACCCATCCATCCATACATCCATCCATCCGTACGTACAAATTTGTAAACGGATTTGAACATCTCGATGTCCCATGTGACTTGAGACATCGCATCTGCAGTACAATATTGCAGTACAGTAACGGCACCGAACTCCTCTCACTCACTCGTTCACTCATTGATTGATTTCATTTCAGAGCTTAAATTTGTTTTTTGCGGTTTGAAAGTACAACTTCCCGAAGGCGGGATCGGAATCGTTGGCATTTTTTTTAACATTAAATCCACGACGACGACGATAGAACATTCTGGTTTTTCAATTTGATACTGGGATGTGCGTTTCTAAAGTGAAGGCAAATAGAAAATAGATATCGTAATTCTCTTGAGGAGGACAGCCCGGGGAGGGAGGAAGGGAGAGGGAGGGCGAATGTGTGGGCGTTGCCCCCCGTTGGGGTCAACCACCAACCACCAACCACCAACCAGCTCTTATCTATCTATCTCCCCTGTGGCTCCCAATACAAACCCCACTTTCCACCAACCACCACAACCAACAACCAACAACAGCCACTTCAAGATTACACCACTTATAACAGAAAACAACATTTCTATCTTCGAGCAATATAAAAAGATTCCGGAGCCATCGCGTCTCCCTCACCTCACCTCACCTCACCTCACGCCCGCACCCGCACCCGCACCCCCTCCCACATCCACAACCCGGCCGGAGGACATCACCATCACCGGCCCGAGCACCATCATCACCACCATTACAAACAGCAGCAGCACTGCCGCCACCACCAACATCAACAGCACCAAGGCAGCCGCCGCCTCCTCCGGACCCATTTGGTTGCCTGGTACGACGACGAGTGGTTGCCCGTCCGGCTGTACGATGGCAATCATCGTTTGTCGTACAACGGCAACCAGCCGACGTACTAGGTCCGTTGAGAGGGCCGCCGTACCCACACCATCACGGACGTTTCCATTGCGCACGTCAACTGTACGGCGACCAATCCTCCATCCCATTATCCCCCACTCCCTATTTCTATTAAGAGGGGTGTCCACGGACCCACGGGTCGGCGACGACGGCGCTGTGACACTGGGGATCTCCGGCGGCTGCTGCTGCGGCGGCGGTGGGGTGGCCCAGATCTCCCAGGGACCCAGCAATGGCTGCAGCGCCGCGCGTACGGCGTTAGCCGCATCTGGCGCCAAGCTGGCCAGCTGGTACGACAATATGGCGCCGGGCGTGCTGCCGTACGCGTCAAGTGCGGTAAAAAACGTGCCACGTGCTGCGGGGAAGCGCTGCAGCAGCCACGTCAGCGTCCTCAGACCTGACTCATCCACAGCGAGCCCGCCGCCACCATTCGCGCCGCTGTTGCCGGGCGACGTTGCATTCCCAGCAATCTCTGACCCACGGGTCACCGCCAGGGCCGCAGCCAGATGAGCAGGCGTTACGCCAGCGGCGCTCGGCTCGTCCCACGCCAGCGGCGACCCATAGCTTTGAGCCCACTCCGCCATCGCCGACAGCATCGCGCGGGAGCCAGAATTCACCGCCAGGTGTAGCAGCGACATGCCGCCGTACTCTGGCAGCTGCCGTACTTCCGTACACACGTCTATAAATCGCATGCCCCGATGCCGTACCAGGCCCCCCAGTACGGTGCCTGCCGCCACCGGCCGCCCTGCCTGGCACAGCCACGCTAGGAGGCCCGCGGCCATGTCCTGCATGCGCTGTCCGTATTCGGGACGCCGCTGTAGCTCCGAAACCAGGGCCGCCAGATCCACGGAGCCCGGCAGTACGGGTACGGTGATGTCGACGGCGCTGTCGTGGAACGCATGCAGACGGGAGCCTGCCGCTGCCGACACCGCGGTCGCGGCGGCGGCGGCGGCGGCGGCTGACGCCGCCACCGTAGCGGACGACACCGGCCTAGACGACGAGACGTGCGCAGGCAAACTGGCGGCGGCGGTAGCTGCGGCGGTGGTAGCGGTAGCCGTCCTGGCGGAGGGCACCGGGCCAGATACGGTGCCGGGAGTGGCGGCGGCCAGGAACCCCAACGGCGGCGGCGGCGGAGAGAGAGACCCCATCAGCAAATGTTCGAATTCCGCTGTCGTGCGCGGTCCCAGAAACGTGCCGTACTCGCCGGCGCCGCCGGCGCTGCTGGCTGATGTTCGCAGCACTAACGGCACGGCGGCCCCCCCACTCTCCAAGACGGCAACGCTACCGTCGCGTGACGTCATCGTCCCCGCCGCCGTCATTGCAGCTGGCGGCGGCGCCAGCGCGGTGTCGCTGACAAGGCCGACGGGGGTGCTGAAGCTGATGTTGCGACGGGGCCTCGCCGCCGGGCCCACAGCGCTCTGTGGTGGTACGACAGAGGAGAGCGGGAGTATACCATCGTGGGGGCCATTGCCGGAAAAGCCCGTGTACGGCAGCGGCGGCGGCGGCGGCAGCGGTAACGGTAGCGGCGCAAGGATATCCGGAAAGGTGTTGGAGAACGTGAAGAACCCCAATGGCGCTTCGGCGCTTGCCCGGACTGTAGCTGTAGCTCTGGGCAGGACGGCAGCGAGGTTGTGAGCGCTACTGCCGGTTGGGTCGGGGCCGCCGCCAGCGGCGGCGGCAGCGACGGAGGCGCGACGTGTGATGTGACGGTTTAAGGATAGCGGTTGTTGTCGCTGCTGAGGCGGCGGCGGCGGCGATGGGGCTGCAGGAGCGGAGCTTGACGGCGCCGGTTGTGGGGGCGACGGCGGCGGAAGAAGCGGCGGTAGCGGCGCATCGCTGCCGCTGACACCGACGCCGTACATGGTGGCGGCGCTATCGAAATGGCGATGCGGATGTTCGCTGCCGCCGCCGCCGCTCTCGCGGCGCCGCTGCCGCGCGACCTCACGTGCCGACGGTACGGCATCATACCGCAGCGGCAACAGCTGCGCCACGTCCTCGCCGCCGCGTCTGCTGGCGGCGGCGCCATCGCCGCCGCCAGTTGGCTGCTGACTGGCCGCCGTCGCCGCCGCCGAGATGAAATCGTGAGGTCGCGGGTGCAGGGGTAGCGGCGGCATCGGCAGCGGCAGTACGGCCGTGGGGGGAGGGCTGGGGCCCAGCGGAGGCATTGGCACACAGGAAATGTACTGCAGCCATAAGCCCAGGTCGTGCAGCGCATCAGCAGGTAGCGGCGCCAGCGTCTGCGCCGGCAGGTCAGCCCCGACGCCGACGCCGGCAGCGGTATCGCCGTCGCGTACCCCGCTGTCCAACAGCGTACTCGTCGCCGTCGTCCGGCTTTGCAGCAGCTCTGAAACCAGGGTGGTGTCGTACCAGCTGACCGCAGGCAGGCAGGCGTACAGCGCGCCGCCGAACCACACCTGTGCGGCCACAAGAGGGGTCGCATCCAGAATACATACGTACGTACAAACATACATACATACACACATGCTGGGCATAACCGCCGCCGCCCCCCTTTGCCCCTCAGCCCTTACCTCCACCTCCAATAGCCCAGGGACAATCACACCGGCAACAAACAACTCCAGCACCGGTGACGTCGCCGCCGCCGCCGCCGCCGCCATGGCGGCCTCTTCGGTCATGCGGCAAACGCCTCCGCCGCCCTCGCCTCCGATGCCGCCGCTGTCGCCGCCGCCGCCAATGCGCCAGGTCCACTCCGCCGGCAAGTACCTGCCCGCGCTGCGGACTGCCACGTCTAACCATACATTCCCGCCGCTGCCCATGTCGTATTGCAAGCTGCTGCCAGTGGCGCCGCCAGCTGCGGCGGCGGCGGCGGCGGCGGCGGCAGGTAATGGCGCCTCATCGGGTGCGAAATTGGCAACGGAAGGTGGACGGCTCGTTAGCAGCGGCGACGGTGGCGGCGGCGCCGGCGGCGGCAAGGTGGTGGCAGATATTGCTTCATACGGGCCCCGATAGAGGCCTGGAGGACGTATCGAGTCTCTGTCCGTGTCATTGTGACATGCGGCCGCGTAAGGACCCGTGGGTCTGCCGTACACAACGTCGGCGCCGCCAGTGATGCCGACGGCGGCAGCGGCCTCCAGCTCCAGTCGCTGATCTGACGGCGTCGTGGTGGCAGCAGCTGCCGCACACATAACAGCGGCACGTTCAATAATGGAGCTTGATACCCGCTGCAGTAGCAATGGATTGTACGGCACCACCTCGCAGCGGGGGCTGACGTCACCGCTCTTGTCAGGGGCGCCGTCGCCGTCGCCGGCGTCAACGTCACCCGTGCGTTCGAAAAACAACGCCTCGTTCAGTCCGCCCGTCGTTTCGCCTTCCGCCAGCGCCAACGGTGACGCCGCCGCCGCTGCCGCTGTCGCCGCCGCCGCGGTGGTGTTGGTGGCAGTCCACGAAATGCCGTACATGTCGTTCCCGTTCCCGTGCCCCTGCGCAACGACGCCGTACAGGTCCAGGCCCCGCGTGTCCATGACTTCCCCAGACCAAAACACGTCGTACGGACAAACCGATGACGACACCATAGAACGCATGTGTTTGCTTCGCCGTTGCCGCCGCGACGAGGTCGACCGCTGTCGATGCCGTACGCTGTCACTGCCGCCGCCGCCGGCGCCGCCAAAGCCGAAGCCTAACCCCCCGGTACCACAGGTCACGTAACTTAACTCAGCGGCCTCCGCCTCCGCCTCCGCCTCCGCTGCCGCGGCCGTACTGCCGCACACCGTTTGGCTGTACGACATACTGGCGTACGGCATCGACGCAGCTTTGGAAAGTGAACTCCCGGCGATGGGGGGAGTCGCTACGTCAGCGGCCAGGCCATCGCTCCCAAGCTCCTGCCAGCACATAGGGCCCTCCAGGCGCCGCCGCCGCCGATACCCAGGGTGCGCGTCCTCGTCCCCTCCGCGACTCGCCCTCCGCTGCCCGCATCCCGGCTGACGGCTGACGGCACAGTCCTTTGCGCAGCCGGCATGCGACGCAACCCGCTGCGCTGACGCAGCGCCGCCGCCGCCGCCGCCGCCACCATCTGGGCATCCGTATTCGTCGTACAATGACCTCAGAGCTTCCACCAGCAGCAGCTGCTGCCGTTGCTGCTCCTCAATCCAGGAGAGCGGTGGGGAGGCCGCAAGCGCGTGAGGCAGCAAGTGGTGGTCGTGCACCGCCGCCGCCGCCGCCGCCGCCGCGATGTCACCCTTGCACGCATCCGCTGCCGCCGGCGGCGTCGCCGGCACCGCTGCCGCCAATGTATGTGGTGGGGCCGCCGCCACCGACGCCGCGCGACGCTCTCGCAGAGCCCTCCATAACTGGTCAACGTATTTGTTGTACAAGCGCGCCTCCCTCACCGGGGTTGCCGTACAAGCCTCCTCGCCGCTGAGCCGTTGAGCCGTCGGCGGCTGGCTCCCCGACCTGCAAGACCCATCGGCACCGCCGACGCCGCCGTTACTGCTACCGCTACAGCCGCCGCCGCACTTCCCGCCGCCAGCATTGCACGGCACCACCTGGGTATGTGAGGCCCCCAGCTCGACGCCCTGGTCGCCGGAGGAGTGCCGTACGTAGGGGGTTTGCGCGTGTGGTTGGAAGCGACAACCGCCCGGCGGCCCGCGACGCATTCCATGCCGTACCCGTCGCATCAGCGTGGATAGCACCCGAATGCCGCGCAGCAAGCGTTCCCTTGCCCTGCCGCCGCTGCCGCCGCCGCCGCCGCCGCCAGCATCTGCCGGTACAGGAAATCGAACATTGGACGTCAGCTGCATGTGCCGCTGCCGCTGTCGGCTGTCGGCCTGCGTGCTGCTGCTGTCGTAGGAGCCGTCACCGCCGCCAGTAAGGCCGCCGTAGCGATAAGCTTCGCAGGCGGCGGAGCCGCTGCCGCCGCTGCTCTGTGTCTTGAAGGCCGCGGCGACAGCGGGACCTCCGTCGGCCGCAACCTCACTGACGCGGCCGCCGCCGCCGCCGCCGCCGCCGTCAGCTGATTGCGACGGAGCTCCGTGGCGACGTTGCTGGTGCTCTCGCGACGCTGAGCGGAGAGGTTCCAGCAGAACCGGCGACGGCCGTCGTGTTAGAGGCAGCTCCGATGGCAACTGCCCTGACGGCGGCGGGATGTACAGGTGTACGATAGGAAGATAACTAGGAGCTGCAACGGACAGCGGCGCCTCCGCCGTCGAGTTACCCGGATCCGCCCACACGCCGCCCCGCACTCGCTCCGCCGCCCCCCTGAATTCCCCACGGTGCCGCTGGCCCCACTCCGAGCTCTCAGGAGGCTGCTGCTGCTGGTGCGACGGCGGCAGCTGCTGCTGGTGCGACGGCGGCAGCTGCTGCTGGTGCGACGGCGGCAGCTGCTGCTGGTGCGACGGCGGCAGCTGCTGCTGGTGCGACGGCGGCAGCTGCTGCTGCTGCTGCTGGTGCGACGGCGGCAGCTGCTGCTGCTGCTGCTGCTGCTGCGACGGCGGCAGCTGGTGCTGTTCCTGTAGCGCTGTACGTCGGTGCTGCTCCATGTGGCCCTTGTCGTGCGGTTGCTGGTGCTGCTGGTACGGAAGAAGCGCTGGCGGCGGCAACAGGCGGTGCTCCTGCTCCCGGCGCGCCGCCAGCAGCGCCGCCGTTGTCTGTTGTGATCCGTGGGGCCGTTCACCGTTGTGATGGTGGCGGCCCGTGCCGGTGAGTACGACAGGAGGAGGGGACCCGCAGCGCTCCATCATGATGGGCTCAGATGGAACCGAGGACCCCAGGGTGCTGCTGCAACCCCCGCCGCCGCCGCCGTCAGGAGCAGCAGTAGCGGCGGCACCGCCGCCGCCACCATTGCCCCCGTTGCCGCTGCCTTCCGCCAGCTGCTGCTCCTGCTGCTGCTGCTGCTGCTGCTGCTGCTGCTGCGCTACCGGCGCTGTCCGCGTCCTTGTGAGGACTTGACTCAGGACGGAGGACACCAGTCGCTCCAAAACCAGCTCGGGAGGCTGGTAGTGGCCGCCGCCGCCGCCGTTGCCGCCGTCGCCGCCGTCGCCGCCGCTAGGCTGTCCTGCGACGGGCGCTTGATGAGACTGCTGCCGCCAAGATGGCACGACAGCTGCGGCTGCGGTGGCGGCGGCGGCGTTACGCGGCTGCGACGCGTTGAGGTCCACGAGGTCCAGTAGCAGCACGACGGAACCACGCCGGCTGGCGTCGTACGGCAGTACGGCACCAAGCTCGCCGGTGTGTGAGGCGCACGGGTACATATGTTCTCCGGAGGTTGAGGTCCTCTTGGCAGGATTCGGCGGCCGCGGAGGGTGCGGACAGTGCAACCCGGCAGCGGCAGCGGCAGCAGCGGTGGCGGACACAGGGCGCCGCGCCTGCTTGGCCCGCAGCGTGAACCGCCGTACTTCCGTCGTCTGGCTCCTCCAGCTGCGTGTACGGCAGCCACGAACCGCTGGGGACGGATCCGCTGGGGTCGACAATCACGAAAGCGAATGAGGCCGTACTACTCGGCGTTACAGCACCGCCGGTGCTCCTGACGCGTGTTGGTGGCGAGCGGGCTAGGGCTAGGGCTAGGGCTAGGACCTAATGGTAGAAACTGATCCACAAAGAGGGGCTTCGCTGAGAAGTGAGCTGGAATACTTTGCGGCATTCACGGGCGCAGCTCGGTCGCCGCTGCGGGCGCTCTCTGCTGTGCGCTCGCCAGTTCCAGCAGCTGTGGACCTGTTGATTGACCCGGGACGTGGCTTTAGGATTGGACGGGGAGAGGAAATTGAATTTCGGAGGCTGCAATACATCGCACTACATTCATCGAAGCAAATAACGGTTACGCAAGGCGCAGGTGGATAACAAAACTAAAGGATGACGGGCAGTAATCCTGTTGTAGCATTTATGTGACGGAATAACTGAGTTCCCAGCTCGTTCCCACTAATGCGACTAATGCGGACGGAGGTCCAACTGCCATAAATGACTCCTTTCCAGCTACCGGTGGTGCGGAAGTAGTAGAAGTTTACGTCGCAATTCCTTCACCTGATGAAGGAGCAGAAGCATGAATCCTGTTCCAGGATTATAATGCACACATGATCCCTGCAAGTTGTACTGATCGTTGCGACATGAGTCTCGAACTTCGCGTTACCATTATTGCGCACATTGATATTATGGTGTCTTACCGTGTTACAAATTTGCGCAAGGCAATAAGGCGGATTGCGATAAACTAGTTTTCGCTTGGAAGCCCGGGTTCCGCTTGTTTGATCTCGTATGGAGCATACGTATAGCTCACTACAGGGCAATGGGCTTGAATTGCATTTTGCTTCTAAAGGTACGTATGCATCAGGTGGGAACTGCACACTGGTTGCAGGACTGAGAATTCGTCCACAATGTGAACTGCGTGCCTTGAGCAGACCGACGGACTACAGCAGAAAGTCGACGATGCAGCAAGCTTAGCCATATCCAAAGATTCCAACCCAAACTAAAAAAAATTCCTTCACGTAAAACTATCCCTAAACGTTTCGGACCTTCTATGCCGCAAGCACGTCATCGCGCCAACAGCAGCGCACCTCCTGCGCATCGACCCACGCACATGAGTTAAATCTAAAACGTAGTCTACTGCGAAAATACATACACCCGGCTACATCTCATCTACAGCGGGACAGCACGCGAATCATCACTCCTCTCCCGAGGGCTGCACGGCTCCATGGGATCCTCTCCCCTCTGCGGCCACCGGCACCACCCCCGTCCTTCCTTTCCCCTTCAACTGCGCAACCCTTCACGCTTTCATCTGCTCCTCCATGTCCATCGCCCTTTATCAATGCCCATTCGCAACAGCCTGGTTCCGCGCTGAGCTGCCACCAACTCCCCCACCACCGAAGCCGGAAAAGTTGGCCGACTGAGAGCTCCAAATCGAACCCAGTAACCCGCTGCCACCGCCACCGCTCCGCGCCGACATTGAGGCCGCCGAGTTGCGACGATACAGCACATGCAGACCATCACCCGCCGAACTCGCCTTGCTCGCGTTCACCGCGCCGCGGCTCCCCGCGGCTCCCCCCTCCAACACCACCTCCAGCTCGCCGCCCTCGCCTACTTCCGAAACCTCCGTAATCGCCACTCCCCGTGTGCTGCTCGCCGCGCCGCTGGGCGCGGGGCTGAGTGCGGGCGGGCCCCCGATCAGCTGCTCGCCGCTGCCAAACCCTTCCAAAAGCGTCCTCAGCCCGGGGTTACCGTCCGTGATTTCCGGCGGCGTAGCTTGCACGTAGCTCTTGAGCCGACTGTTGTCCATACCGACCCGGCGGGTCACCTCCGCCACGGCTGCACACAGCAGGTAGATACCCTCATTGGCGCGCTGCACGCCTGTGCTCATGTGCTTTATGCTGTTGTCCATTTGGCACACGCGAGTATCTATGGAGTCAGAGATGCCGCGGATCTCCTCCACCTTCTCCGACACGGTGAGCAGCTTCTCATCCATCTGGGTCTGCTGAGCCATCATGGCCTGTTGCTGCTCGCCCACCGTCGCGATGCGCTTGATGAACTCGTCCTTCTGCTTGCGCAGCTCCTCCCATAGCTGCGTCATGCTTTGCGACACCAGCTCCCGGAACGACTGCAGAGACTTGTTGGTGACCATGAAGAAGTCAGATATGGAAACTCCGCGGATCCTGACGTACAGGTAGACAACGCCGCCCACCACGGCCGCCGGAAGGATGTAGACCGACCAGCCGCCTCGACCTGTGCGTATTGGGGTAGGGCAGGACACAGTGGGGGATGCAGGAGTGTGTCGTTGCCGTGTTAAGTGAGGAAGGGGGGAAGGACGGTGGTGCCGCAGCAGGTTGTGCGGGTCGTCATGGAGGTTGCGATGGGCAGCCCTTCAGGCGCTAGTGCCGCCTTAAGGCGATGTGCAACACCCAATGGTGCAGGCTTCGTTGCTGCTCACCGGTGTGGATGACAGTGTATCCGTTGCTTTTCTGGCCACGAACCACATCTGAAAGCAACTTGTGCAACCGGTCGACCTCGCCCTGGAGAACTGACAGCTGCACGGGACGATGGACAACGCCGGTATGAGGTCGTATGGGTTTGAATCTCAGCCGCCGGGCTATCAAAAATTCTGATGCATTTTCAACGAGTGTATTTGCTCACCTCACTGCTGCCTGAGACTCGTCCACTTGACGAAGGGCCATTTTCATGGTTGAGCGTCTTAAGTGCCGTTGCCACAAGGCTCGTCGGTGAGTCTATCCCAACCTTGTGCGCCTGTGTTGCCGCGTAGCCCGCAAACAACATCCCCCCAAGCGCCGTGGGCCAGCTGGGCATCTTGAAGCGCTTTAGGCTAAACGCTGAAGTCTTTTACACAGGCCTTTTAGAGTATGTGGCAATCGTTCCGTGACAATATGTTGCTACATAAAGCCCTCACCAAGGATGCCTGTTGACGAGGTAAGAGGCTATTTACAGTTAGAATAATCCCGGACTAACAAAGAATGCATAACTCAACAGCGCCGGGGTTCTTACATAACATCGCAATCTAGGGAACAGAATCTAGGCATCAGGGAACGATGGTGAAATTGACCTGACAAACGGACGCGTACGGTCAGCTGAGGTCTACCCTTTGGGCAAAACCAACCCGAGTAAGTGCATACACAATTTGCAATGCTCAATACATGTACATGTTACACCTTTGTTAGATACATGGAGCGCTTTCACTGTTACCGTTGAGAGCTCGAAGCAAGGCTGTCGCGAATATGCGTGTCACGGCAATCCTGCCCCATACCGCGGTCGCTATGGCCGGAACGCACATCAGAATTCCAGCCTTCGCGCTTTTGCTCATCAAGGTCTGCATCGCGCTCTGCGTGCTCGCGCTGCTAGCGAAACTGCTGCTTTACGCCGCGCGCCTAGCTCGCCGCAAGACCAGCTTCTACTACGTGCCCTTCAGCCACGACCTGAAGAACGTCCTGGTCACCGACTGCACACACCCACACGCACGCACGCTGACCCACCATAAAGGTCAGCGCAACCCAGCTCGCCTGCGCCCCTCCGATACAAGCACCGGCCTCGTACTCAACGCACTCAAGGCCTCCCCCTGGAGCGCCGGCCAGGCCTACGAGTGGTGCCAGCTGGCGCAAGTCAGCACAAACCACTTTGACGTGGACAGGTACGGTATGTACGACGTACGTACATACCCCCGCTGATGTCATCTGACGAGGTTGAGGGTCGGGGGGGGGGAGGGGAGGGAGAGGGAAGGGTTACGGTCAGGTTACGGTTCTGGCAGCCGTCCTAACGGCGTGAGTGTCTGGATGGTGGTTATTGGGTCGTTGGAGGGGGGCCCTCCCCGTTGTGTTTTGTACGTATGTATGTGTGTACGTGTGTCTGTGTGTATATGTCCGTATGGTTAAATGTCTGGCGGTTGCTTGTGCCGGGGCCATGTGCGGTAGGTAGGTTGGTTGGTTGTTAGGTTTCCGCTGTCGTCATCACTACATCATCGCGAGGACTGCTTCTTCACAACCGCCGACTGTTTAGTTTCTTTGCTTTCTTCACATCCGCCGCAGCAGTGCTTTCCCCCCTTGGCATCAGCTTCACTCGTTCACGTGGTTCGTCCTCCCCCCCCCCCCCCCAACCCGCTTTCTCCCCCCCCCCGGCAGCTTCCTCTCCGTCTGGTGTTACATCAACCGGGGACTGGCACTGCAACATGAAGCCAGTGAGCTGTAGCAGCAGTAGCAGCAGCTGTATATATAGCTACATACATATGATGTTGTTACAGGGTGGTATAGCTTCACCAGCGGCCCCGTTTCCCTTGGAGGCCGCTCCCTGCATATGTATGTATGTATGTATGTATGTATGTATGTATGTATGTATGTATGTATGTATGTGTGAGTGTGACTTTCCCCGTGTGACCGACCGCCTGCCGTACGTCTGTTCCTGTGCTCTCCGTTTCGAGGGCCGGGAGGAAGGCGACCACCCGGTAGACGGCGGGGAGGTGGAGGTGGAGGAGGGGGAGGAGGGATTGGTTTACCCCCGGGTTTCCTGTCAACCTCCCCTTCCGCCTGTGGGCCTGTTCGCGCCATCCCCACCAACCCCCCACCCCCGCCCACGGCGCATCCACACACTCACCGCCGTCCCCTCTCCCTCCCCCCCCCGTTATACACACACATCTCCCCCCCGACTGCAGTACTTCGTCACATGGCCCGTATTGGGGACTTCCGGGAGGCCTTTCTGTCGCCGTACCTGGTCGCCGTACATGGTCCGGAAGACGGAATTTACAACATCAGGTGAGGGGAGGGGGGAAGAGGGGAGAGGGCTAAGCTGGGGGCCGTGGGTTGGGGTCAGAGAGTACGGCATATACGTCCGGGGGAGAACGTGTCTGCCCGCCTGTCTGTCTGTCTGTGTGTCTGCCCACCTGCCTGTCTGTCTGTCTGTCACCGAAGCAAGTTATGCATATTTCGTTTGGCTTGATATCTGGTCCCTCTTTCCCCCGCTCCTCCTCACCCCCTCACCCCCTTGCACTGTTGGGCCGTTTTTGGTTGCAACACACCCCCTCACCCCCCTCACACTCTCACCCCTTACCGCCATCCCCCCTCACACTCACCCTTTCCAGCATTACTTTCCCGGCTTTGCAAAAGCTTCCCCCTTCCCCCTCCCC